CTAGTAGTAACAAGAAGCTACTAGGAACAAGTGCATCGCTACTAGGAACAAGTGCCTAGTAGTAACAAGAAGCTACTAGGAACAAGTGCATCGCTACTAGGAACAAGTGCCTTACCAGTAGTCACAAGAAGCTACTAGGAACAAGTGCATCGCTACTAGGAACAAGTGCCTTACTAGTAGTAACAAGAAGCTACTAGGAACAAGTGCATCGCTACTAGAAACAAGTGCCTTACTAGTAGTAACAAGAAGCTACTAGGAACAAGTGCATCGCTACTAGGAACAAGTGCCTTACTAGTAGTAACAAGAAGCTACTAGGAACAAGTGCATCGCTACTAGGAACAAGTGCCTAGTAGTAACAAGAAGCTACTAGGAACAAGTGCATCGCTACTAGGAACAAGTGCCTTACTAGTAGTAACAAGAAGCTACTAGGAACAAGCGCATCGCTACTAGGAACAAGTGCCTTACTAGTAGTAACAAGAAGCTACTAGGAACAAGTGCATCGCGACTAGGAACCAGTGCCTAGGAACAAGTGCCTTACTAGTAGTAACAAGAAGCTACTAGGAGCAAGTGCATCGCTACTAGGAACAAGTGCCTTACTAGTAGTAACAAGAAGCTACTAGGAACAAGTGCATCGCTACTAGGAACAAGTGCCTTACTAGTAGTAACAAGAAGCTAGCGTGTCCTTCAGGTGGTCAACGTTCTAATTCTAAGTTAATTCTAATTTAATTTGATTGCAAACATGTCTACATCGACACCCATGTGTTCTGCCCCTCCTCATACGGAGGATTCGGACGTGGTGGCCGCGACTGCAGAGCCATCACTTGCTGCGATAACGTTTGGGCCTTGGACAAAGAATGCCCTGCGCAACATAGCTCAAACAATGCACTGCACTGGCTGAGAACCAAGCATTCGGCCGCACCTGACAGCATGTCGTTACCGTGCACCACAAAAGAAACATACGTGCAGGTGGGGGGCACACAAAGGGATCACCTGCGCATAGGATGGGAGGATGGGGATGAGTTTTGTAAACAAATGGGTGCACGAGTGACAACTTGGAGCTGGAATGGAAATGGCCCTATTAGGTTGGAGGCAATCGCTATTAGGTTGGAGGCCATCGCTTTTAGGTTGGAGGCCATCGCTTTTAGGTTTGAGGCCATCGCTATTAGGTTGGAGACACTCGCTTTTAGGTTGGAGGCCATCGCTATTAGGTTGGAGGCCATCGCTTTTAGGTTGGAAGCCATGGCTTTTAAGTTGGAGGCCGCCGCTATCAGGTTGGAGGCCATCGCTATCAGGTTGGAGGCATCGCTTTTAGGTTGGGGGCCATATGGCTATTAGGTTGGAGGCCATCGCTATCAGGCTGGAGGCCATCGCGGTTGGAGGCCATCGCTATCAGGTTGGAGGCCATCGCTATTAGGTTGGAGGCCGTCACTTTTACCCTATTCGGTTGGGGGCCGTTGCTATTGGGGTTGGAGGCCATTGCTATTAGGTTGGGGGCC